CCCCAAAACCCCAAAACCCCAAAACCCCAAAACCCCAAAACCCCGTACAAAAATAAATTTAAAATTAATATAAGAAGAAATTTCAAATGTCTGCATCTGAGAATAGATTTGTGTTTATCGTAGAGTGGTATGATGAACAAGCTTGCCTCATCAGGAGCTATAACCTTACCTACTATCTTGACGACCACACCATCGATATGTTTGATATTAAGAATAAAAGGATTTTCTTAAAAAGAACTGCTTATAAGGGAATTAACCTAGAAGACCTACATATTGGATCAATAGTGACTATTTATTCAAGACAACTTAAAGTTGTTAAATATGCAGATGCCTACACTCAGAACGCATTTGATGCTTCTTCTGAGAAGACATTCGCAATGATAAAGCCAGATGCTTATCTCAATATTGGGAAGATAATCTCTCTTATCTTCCAAGCAGGCTTTAAAATTAACAAAATGAAAATGTCCAGATTCACAGAAGACACTGCTGGAATATTCTATGGAGAGCACAAAGGAAAACATTTTTATCCGAATTTAGTAGATTTTGTCACAAGTGATGTCTGCGTCGGTCTTGAATTAGTCAGAGAGAATGCAATCCTTGCATGGAGAGAGTTACTCGGCCCAACTAATACTCAGAGAGCAAAGGAAGAAGCCCCAGAGTCAATCAGAGCACAATTTGGTTCAGACGGTACTCGGAATGCATGCCATGGATCTGACTCCCCAGCATCTGCTGAAAGAGAGTTAGGCATTTTCTTCGGATCTGGAAGCGTAATGCCAAGCACCAGTTTACAGAATAATTGCACATGTGGAATCATTAAGCCTCACATTGTTAAGGCAGGACTAGCAGGAGAAATCGTTCAAATGATTCTTGATGAAGGATTTGAAATCTCTGCACTACAGGTATTCAATCTTGATACTCCCGCTGCTGAAGAATTTCTTGAAGTTTATAAAGGAGTACTTCCTGAATTCCTCCCAATTGTTGAAGAGTTAACAACTGGACCTTGTATAGTCATGGAAATTAGACAGGAAGATGTAGTAGAAGCTTTTAGAAAACTCTGTGGACCACACGACCCTGAAATCGCAAAAAGCCTAAGACCAAGCACTATCAGAGCTAAATTTGGAATCGATAGAGTAGCTAATGCAATCCAGTGCACTGACCTTGAAGAAGATGGAGTCCTTGAATGTGAATACTTCTTCAACTTGCTCCAGAGCTAACCGAGCTCGAATAAATTCAACTAAAATTCTCTCAAATGGGGTTTTGGGGTTTTGGGGTTTTGGGGTTTTGGGGTTTTGGGG